CAGCCTGCACAATTCTCAAATCTTCTTTCTGGATTGCTGCCAGGTTGCATTCCTTAGGTATCAGCTTCCTGCTCAAATAAGAAATTTGATGCTTCGCCCTCCATTATGCTTCTGAATCAAGTTTGCCCCCAACCAGTGTAAAAGGCAGCTGTGGTCACACAGACCATTTGTTATTATCAGGGCCATTAGCACAGTGTCTCTGGGGGCAGCGTTGGAGGTGGGTTTAAGCTTTAAGCTGCTCCAGAGTTCTTGTCCAGGACTCCAGAACTCCTAATCTAGCCTTCCTTTGGGGAGCTCTCTCAGGGGAGTGGCTGAAACTCCAATCAAACCAAAATTTACAACATGGTTCACATCTTTTTTTTTTTTTTTTAAATAAACTCCAAGACTGTTTACTTTCAAATAGTTTGTGGATTATTCTACAATGGAACAATATTTTCCTTTCCCACTCTGTTTGTTGTCCAGATATACAATCTTGATGATGATTCTATGGGTACTTGGGCATCCATTCATAATTCATCTTTCTAGTCATTCAGTCATTCATTTATTCACTCCACAAATTTGAGTATAAAGGAAATTTTCTTTCTTTTTGTTTGTTAAATTAAATCTGACTTCTAGCCCAATCCTATTGGAGTGGAAGGAAATTCGATCTTAGTTTTGTTGTTTTTTTAAAATATATATATTTTATTGATTATTTTACAGAGAGGAAGGGAGAGGGATAGAGAGTTAGAAACATCGATGAGAGAGAAGCATCGATTAGTTGCCTCCTGCACACCCCCTACTGGGGATGTGCCCCCAACCAAGGTACATGCCCTTGACTGGAATCGAACCTGGGACTCTTCGGTCTTCAGGCCGACGCTCTATCCACTGAGCCAAACCGGTTAGGGCCGATCTTAGTTTTTATGGGAACTCTATCTTCCTTCCAAAGGTTATATGATATTTCCAGAAAGTGAAGTCTCTAGCAGTCCTTTGGGGGGAACTCACTGTCCCCTCAAAGTCTGGCAGTTCTACTGTTTCTAGTCTGTGACTGAGGATCAAGAATCTTTTAAATTGTCGTGCAACATGTGAAACATAGAAAAAGGTATAAAAATAATATATCCACTACCTAGTTTAAATAATACTGCCTTACACACTTTAATCCTCTCATCTTCTCCTCCCTAATAGTCTCCTCTTCCTATCAGCAACTGCCCCCTAACAGAATGACCAATATTCTAAATTTGGTATTTATCTTTTCTGTATATTTATTTATCTTACTACACATGTAGATGCTGATTAAGCAAATATGTGTGTGCTTTATTGCTATCATAACAATTACCATAAACTTATGTTATGGCAGAAATCAGGTCGGTGAGAAGCGACAAACCAAACACACTCGGAGGGTCCGGAAAGGACTGTTTATTTGCACCGGTGCTGGCCCAGTGGAGTCCCCTCCTGAGGCTGAGTGCCAAACGTGGCGGGGTTTTGCCTTATATACATGCCCAGGTTCTTTGTCTCCCATATATGGCATTCACACACATTCGAGACTTCTTTCTAAATTACATGCTAAACTTCCGGATATTCGCGCGCTTTCCACACCGGTTGCTGTTCTCTCTGAAGGCAGTCCCCAGACTGCGGGCAGCGAGTGCCGCATGGACGCAAGCAGACCTCCCCTGCTTTTCACAATCAATCCGCCAAGAAGCGAGCGAGATTACAGAAGACACGGATGTGGTTATGGTGGTGCAAACAAAGCGGGGGAGTGGGGCCTTATATGCTTTTGACTTGTTTTCTCACACATTTAGAGGCTTAAACAACATTCATTTATTAGCTCACCTCTATAGGTCATAAGTCCAGACAGGCTTGGCTTGGTTCTCTTAGAATTTCACAGGCCAAAATCAAGGGCAGGGCTCTTATTTGGAAGTATCTGCTTCCAGGCTCATTTAGGTTCTCCTTTCCTTGCAGACTGTCAGCAGGGGTTGCTCTCAGCTCCTAGAGACCACACATCAGTAATTGTGCATGAAATCCTTCACACACTAGGAATGTCTCTTATTTCCACTTCTGTGACCAACTGGAGAAAACTTCCTGCTTTTAAAGAGTTCATGTTAGTAGATTAGTTAGGCTCCCCCAGATAATCTCCCCATTTTAAAGTCAACTGGTTAGTAACTTCAATTACATCTGCAAAAATCCCCTTTGCCACATAACATTACATAATCATGGGAGTAACATGGGAAAGAGGGACCAAGAAGGCTATCTAAGAATTTCCTTCCTTCCTTCCTTCCTTTCCTTCATCTTCCTGTAGAAAGAAACTGTCCCTCTATTGAGAGACATTTGTTCATATTCTAACTTTATGTCAGTAAAACTATACTATATTAATCTGAAACTTACTTATTGATGTTCTGGGGCTAGGCAAGAATTTATAAAAAGAATAAAAATTATAAACATCAATCAGAAAAAAAGATAGACAACTTAATTTTTAAAACAAGTAAAATAGGCAAGTTTTTTAAATAAAGGGACATTAAACTTTTGAAAAGATGCTAACCTTCGTGAGATACCACAAAAACATAAATTAAAATTACAATGAGATTTCACTACAAACCATCAAAATAGCTAAAATTAAAAAGACAGAAATATCTTGGTAAGATTATAAGTAACAAGAACTCTTACACACTGCTGGTTAGAGTGTAAATTGATATAAGCACTATGGAAAACACCAAATAACTTTTTAATACCTACTAATGCTGGATGTATGTGTATACTATGACCCAGCTTTTTCCCTTCTAGGTTCATACCCCACAGAAATGCACATATATTCACCATAAGACACACGTTAGGATGTACACAACAGGATTATTTGAAATAGTCCCATACTCAAAGCTACCTTAATGCCCATTACATTAGTTACCTATTGCTGCATTAAAAAAATGACTCTAGCCGAAACCGGTTTGGCTCAGTGGATAGAGCGTCGGCCTGCGGACTGAGAGGTCCCAGGTTCGATTCCGGTCAAGGGCATGTACCTGGGTTGCGGGCACATCCCCAGTGGGGAGTGTGCAGGAGGCAGCTGGTCGATGTTTCTCTCTCATCGATGTTTCTAACTCTCTATCTCTCTCCTTTCCTCTCTGTAAAAACTCAATAAAATATATTTAAAATAATAATAATAATAATAATAATAATAATAAACACTTATTATCTCACAACCTCTGAGATCAGGAGTTTGCGAGTAGCTTGGCTGGATGGTTCTGGTTCAGGGCCTCCCATGAGGTCACAATGAAGGTAACAAAGAGAGGACTTCAGCCATTTGGAGACTTAACTGGGGCTAGAAGCCCCACACAAGTGTTTTCCGTTGCTCTCACAAAAATACTTTATACACCTCTTGGCTTTGACTTGCCAGGCTTCAACCTCACCCTTCAACACAAACCCCCCACGTCTCCCCTCCAATTACATTCTCCTTCTTCCAGTTCCATGCTCCCTCCATCCGCTACCCCAGTGTTCCATGCTCCCTCCACCCGCCACCCCAGGGCCTTTGTAGGAAATATTTCTTTTGCATAGAATGCTCTTCTCCCACAATCATCCAGTTAACACCCATTCATTCTTTAGATGTCAGCTCAAATGTCATTTCCTCAGACAGACTTTCCTGATTCCATTCAAAAATAGGCATTTTCTTAACTGCTCTTTTCCACCATGAACCCTTCCTCTATAACCCTTAACTGGGTTATAATTGTACACCTATTTGATAATTATTCAACTAACTGCCATCTCCTCTAGATTGTAAGTGAATATTAAGGCAAGGCCATTTCAGTTCTGCTCACTTGTATTCCTAGCATGTCACAGAGTGCAGTGGACAAATTCACTTGTATTCCTAGCATGTAACAGAGTGCAGGGGACAAATATTTGTTTTTCTTTAATGAATGGACAAGTGAGTCATGAAAGTCCTTAAAATTGTCTGGATGATACTAACAGGACAATTTTAGTTATGTGGATGAGTTCTCAGGCCACATGGCTTGATTTAGAGTTCTCAGCTTTGCAGTCACTATAACAAGTATGGATTCTTTCCATCCTCCTGTGGGCAGAGTGGGTTGTTTGAATTCCATATTCTAAGGCTTGATTCTAGCATCTAATGCATTGTCCTCTTGCCCATATTTCAGAACTTACTGCATCTGTAACCTGGTCATTCTACCTACAAATGACTAGATGTCTTTTCTACCCTTCTCCACCTGGCCATCTCCTAGTCCTCCCTCAGAACCACTTGAAATGTCTCCTCCTCCATCAAACATTATCTGACACCCCCAGTCAGAATTAGTCACTCTTCTCTGCTCTATAGGATATTGTTATTCGCACCTTCATCAGCACAAATCACCTGTAAAATAATTATCCACTTATCTATCTCCCATATTGTACTTCTCAAGGATAGAAACCTCCTCTTCTCCATCTTTGGGCCAGCATCTCCACATGTGGCACCTGGCACATAAAGGGTTCACAATGAAGACTTGCTGAAATGAAACTAGGCGAGGGCAGTTTCATAGTACCCAGTGGAAAATATAACAGTGCTTTTCTTTTTCCTTTTCTGGTGGTGTTGATCAGAGGTTCAAAACTACAGACACTTCTGAATATTTCTTTTTAATGTTTCTGGACTCTCTCCTTCTGCTTGAATCTGTTCTGTTCTCTGCTATATCCTAAATGCCTAGAACAGTGCCTGGGAGACAACAACCATTTCACAAATAAATTTTGAATGAATGGATATCTTTGATCAGAAGGAACATCTACAGTGCAGCTGGGATATTTTATTTTATTTTTTGCCTGTTTGCTGTGAAGATAAGCAACATTATTAACCAACTTGACCTATAGAACACTTCTCTCAACAACACCAAAATACATATTCTTTTCAGATGGACATGCAGGACTGCAGCTTAGGAGAGCCATCTATGTAGGAAACAGACTTGAAAGTCATTAGCTTTACAATGATAATTAAAGGCTTGGGAGTGAAGGCAAAGAGTGTGGAGGGTGGGAAGAGAGGAGGGGCCTACGCCTGAAGTATGGTAAAGGAAGAGGAATCAGCAGAGCAGCCTGAGGAATAGAATGAGTGTGGGTGTTATCAAGACTACATGAACAGTGTTTCAAGCAGGGAATGGTCCTTGGAGTCAAACCTGCATTTATTCATGAGACAACTCAGAGCACCTTCTACATAGCAGGTACTATGCAGTAGGCTGGGGATACAACGGGAAAAGAAAAAGCAAATTTCTACTCTACTCTCCTGGAGTTTACAGTCTACAGGGAAAGACAATCAAATAAATTTGTAATTATAAAGATGGTTTGGTGAGAGCATATATCACAGGAAAGCTATCTTCCCTGAGGAAGTGACATTTGAGCTAAATCAAGACAGAAGGGCACCTGATAAAACAACAAAAGTACAAGCAACAAAAGAAAAAAACAGATAAATTGGACTTCATCGAAATAAAAAACTTTTGTGCTTCAAAGAACACCACCAAGAAAGTGAAAAAAGACAACCTGAGCACAGAGAATATTTGCAAAGCATATATTTGATAAGGGACTTCTACTTAGAATATATTAAGAACTCCTAAAACTCAATAATAAAAATACAAATAACCAAACTACAAAATGAACAGAGGATCTGAATAGACACTTATCCAAATAAGATATTTAAATGGTTAATAAGTATGTGAAAGTATGTTCAAAATCATTCACATTAAGGAAATGCAAATAAAAAACCAAAATGAGGTACCACTTGACACCCAAAATTATTGTTAAAATAATACTTTTAAAATGGAAAATAACAACTGTTTGTGAGTGTATTTGTTTGCTAAAACTGCCATAGAAAGGGTCTCACAGTTTTGGATGTGTTAAAAGATAAAATGAGGCATATTAAAAAAAAAATTTTAATACATTTTTATTGATTTCAGAAAGGAAAGGAGAGGGAGATAAGGATAGAAACATCAATGATGAGAGAGAATCATTGATCAGCTGCTTCCTGCAAGTCTCACACTGGGGATCAAGCCGGCAACCTGGGTATGTGCCCTGACTGGGAATCAAACCTTTGACCTTCTGGTTCATAGGTTGATGTTCAACCACTAAGCCACGCCAGCAGGGTGCATATTAAAATTTTTTCAAGTTTATTTGAGCAAACATTGATTTGAATTGGGCAGCATTCAACCTAGCAGATAGCGAGGAGTTGTATAAAATGAAACACTTGCCTGGCTGGCTTGGCTTAGTGGTTGAGCGTCGACCTATGAACCAGGAGGTCATGGTTCAATATCTGGTCAGGGCACATGCCCTGGATGTGGGCTCGATCCCCAGTGTAGGGCATGCAGGAGGCAGCTGATAAATGATTCTCTGTCATCATTGATGTTTCTATCTCTCTCTCCCTCTCCCTTCCTCTCTGAAAAATAAAAACA